CTCTCTCTCTCTCTCTCTCTCTCTCTCTCTCTCTCTCTCTCTCTCTCTCTCTCTCTCTCTCTCTCTCTCTCTCTCCCGTTATCGCCCCGTGCTCCTCTGCTTGATGCGTTGCCCTGTTGGAGGAATGACCTACAGAGTACTTTTATGTACTTGTCACACTTTCATTTCGTCGTTTTCTTGGTTTATGGTGGACGATGGAATGTGGGATCAACGTTGTTGCGGGCAGCATGTTTGATTCTGTGGCAGATGCAGCTCGCCACTTGGAGCCTGAAGCGTGGTCGCTGTCAGGTTGTGTGTAATCTGACTAAGGTTCCCTCCGAACTGTGCATGCAAGATTTCCAAGCACACGGCTCTCCATCCGTCAGTTTGGCAAGACTACTGACTGTTTCCCTTCCATTTTTGTGTACTGAGGTTCTGGTTTGCCATCTTGATTGATCGTAAAGGTTTAGCACGTATGCTTTTCAAGGACTCTCCGATCGATGGGACTGAATGTTGTGCTTCTGTGGATGAGCGAAAACCAAAGGAATTCATCCTATAGGAAAACAAATATGCTCATTGATTGAGAGTTTTGCAAGTCTGTGTGATTTCTTCGCTCGAAGTCGAACCTCTGCTTTTTTTCTGCCGACCCTGGGAGGCGACGAAGCGTGTTCATCAGATTCCACCGGAAGCGAGAGCTCCACGCTCTCGTTTCGGATCCAATAGAAGAGCTCAATGGCCACTGTGACGTCTTCTTTTTTCTCTTTTTTTTTTTGCTACGGCTCAGGACTATTATCTGCTGGTACGATTGAAAATTTTTCTTTTACAATTTTTGTGCTGTTGTTTTGACATTTTTCTAACATTCACAACGACTGGCCCATTGAAGAAGCTCGGTCCTGATGCTACCGGCTGACCTCTGGCCTGCATCGCCCACCTGCTGTAGCAGGTATTGCACCTGCTGGTGGGTGCAGCTCCCGCGCATGTTCCCTCGTTGGAGTCTTGAGCGCGGATGCGCCTGCTACGGGGTTCCCCCGTAATGCTATAATGACATTCTTCTTAGCAAGTTCTTTCCTTCTTTTTTAGGATTGTTTTTGTGTTTTTTATGTTATTACACGTTTTTTTTCCTCTTTTTTTACTTTTTTTTTTTTTTTTTTTTTTTTWACTTTTKTATGCTCCTCTTTCTTCATGTGCAATTCTGGGAGGAGCTGCACCTGATCAGGTTTAGGGTTTAGTTGTTAGTTGCGATGGCATGGGAATGGATGTCTCGAAACATTGAAATGTACGTTCCAACGCTTCCTTTTTCCTTTAATGACAGATACACAGTGTATTACGCACTTCTGGTCACCAAATTTTCAAGATTGTTGCATGTCAGAGCGTCTAGAAAGGTTTGCAGGTTAGGTAGCTTGCATGCACATGGTCGTGTGCGTGGTCCAGGTGCATCCTGACGGAGAGACTCTGTAAATTGTGGCTGTGACAAGTCACAATCATGCCCCATACCATGAATGTTGATGCAGAGACGTAGCTGAACCTTGAAAGTCACAGGCATATGCCAAGCACCCATTTGGGTAGCAGGATAAAGATGGGAAAGTCATGAAGCGATAGTGAAGATCAGTGTGGGTGGGTCTACCCAAAAAATGTTTGCTGCAAGTATGGGTGTGTAGATTCGGTGTAGGCTCCACTGAGTACACCTTCCCTAGAGAAGAGAGCTTCTTTTTCTTTATTTCCTTTTCTAATCTTTTTTTTTTCTTTTTTTTTTGTTTCGATGAGAGCTTCTACAGAGATTCTTTTTCTTTTTCTTGTTCTTTTTCATTTTCTTGTTTTGATTGATTGATTTCGTCCTTATCCATGTTTATGGTTGTTCAAAGGTGGTTGCTTTTTCCAGTTTCATGCGTCTCGGAGCTCTTGCCACTGCCACTCGGGGTTCTGGATTTCAAGGCTTTGCATGGTGGAGGCATTCTCTGGACTATGCAGAAATGCTGCAGTGGTTTAAGTGTTTAGACAGATTCTTATGGTTGCGTCCTAGAAAGTCGTAAGGTAGCATACGGGTTCTGTCGGGTTATAAGTTATTAGCACTTCCTCAGCCTCTACAGTTTCTAGTTCATGTTATCCTCAGCAGAACTTGTCAGTTTTGTTCCCGCCCCCTCCCCCTGAACACACACACACACACACACACACACACACACACACACACACACACACACACACACACACACACACACACAAGAATTAGCCCATCTATTGTCGGGGACAGTCCGGTTGCTTATCACTGGCAAGCATGAAGCAGAGTTACAGAAGTCAGTTTTCGGAAACATGATCTGGAAGGTGTGGAGGGCACAGCACTGGCGTGGTCTCTTATGCACACAGGGTAATTGGTAGTGGTCGGTGGCAGTAGGTTTACCCAAGTAGAACTTCGGCCATACCGTCTTCACCCAAGTAGAACTTCGGTCCTACCGTCTTCACCCAAATAGAACTTCGGTCCTACCAGCTTCACCCAAATAGAACTTTGGACGTACTGTCTTCACCCAAATAGAACTTCGGTAGTACCGTCTTCACCCAAGTAGAACTCCGGTCGTTATTGCTTATGTGGTGCAACTTTCAGTCCATATGTGGAGGTAATTACCAACACTCCATTTGGATGAATATGGTAGCGCCAATTCTGATGACCATGAGGCTGACATCGTAGGATCTGAAAGAAAACTACCGCCTTCACCCGAGTAGAACTTTGGTCATTGTCGCTTTATGTGGTGCAACTTTCAGTCCATGCACTGAGGTAGTTATGAACACTCTATTTGGATGAAGGCGGTAGTGCTAATTCTGATGACCATGAGGCTGACATCGGAGGACCTGAAAGAAGGCTTTGATGGAGAGCTGTTTCTGTGGCATGTTTTTTCATTGCACGCTGTCAGGCAAAGTTTGGTAGTGTGCAGAAGCAAGCCTCAGCGTCCCTCGCAGGACCCGTTTTCCAGCAGGTGACGCTCCCCACCAATAGATGGAGCCCCCCCGGATGATAGCGGTGTCTGCTCTTACCAGCACCACTAGCATTGCAGGGGGTGTGTTTAAAAAAAAAAAAGAAAAAAAAAAAGGTAGTTGTGTATAGGTAGTTGTGCATTGAGAAGGCCTCAGCGTCCCTTCTCAGGTAACTTGTGTATAGGTAGTTGTGCCAGTCTTTGGATGTCTGAGACTGCAGCCCTTCTACTACCTGACGTGTGGAGCATTCTGGGTAGTACACGGAGTGACAACAATACAGCGAAGGCACACACACACGCACACACACACACACACAC